GAAAATCACATTTATTTTGTGCAGCAGTTACACATCTATGCAGCTAATTAACATCCTTACATAAGACCGGCCCCCCTCCTTGATAGCGTCTCTCGTTTCTCCCTTCTCACAACACCGCCAGTTTCTTTTTATCCTTCCAATTTTCCCCCCTCTTCTAATTTCACAATAATAACATCAAACTCAAAAACCAGATCTCTGCTTCTGTGCCGTCTCTCCTGTCTTCCTGGCAGCTTCATTGGGGAGATAAGATGCAAGAATCTGAGCTGACTGCTTCTATAATTACCCATATAGGCTCATAGCTGCAGCTCATCACTGTCTCACAGGCACAGCGTGTTATTTGAGCCACCAATACACACATACACACACACACACACACACACACACACACTCTCTCTCTCTCTCTCGTTACTCTGCAAGATAACAAGCTCTTACTTGCAGTATCAGTGTCTCCTGTTATCACTGCACATTCACACTTCCTTATGTCTTTATTCAACCTTGTGGGTAATAAAAATTGGCGGTGTGGAGATCGTCCTCAGTGGTTTAAAGCTGCGTTAGCTAAAGATGCGTTAATGAGAGTACAGAAGTTTTTTATTATCTTCTTCTTTGTTGAATTCACTGGATTTAGGCCAAGTTCTGCTGTTTCATTTCTCAAATTGAGTATCCTGTGTGTCTGTGTGTGTCAGTTTGCTCGGATTAAGGAGAGGATGAGCCTGCAGGAAGAGCTGGACCAGCTCCTCTTCCTTGTGTCGGACCAGTCTCTGACTCTGCTGCCAGAATACCACCAGAGGATCAAGGTTTGGATGAGAGTCTTTATCCTGACGTGTTTCTGTCCGTTGGCAGAAAAATGAATCACCGGCTATTTTTATAAGTCAGTCATTTACTGAGAAAAAAAAAAGTGTAAAGACCTCTCGGTTGCTTCTCAGATCGGAATATTTTCCTCTTCGTCATCTTCCTGTGTGATCGTAGGTCTATGAATTATTGAATTTATAATACCTTTAGACATAAAAAAGTTCCCATCACAATTTCCCAAAAGTCAGTTTGCTTAAATGAGGTTTTTGATAATCTCAATAATTCCCAAGACATCAGAAGTTTGCTACATTGTCCTCGATTGAGTCCAGATGGGATCTGTGCTGCGTTTGTCTTTCTCTGCTGATTATGTCTCTAATAAAAGCATTAAAATGGGTGAAAAAAATTTACAAATATTTAATTTAGAGACAAAGAAAGGAGCTAATATTTAAAAATGACCTTATGCTAACAGTGATGCTAACAAGCTGTTTATTTTTGCCATTATAGAATTTAGTATTAACATGCATATGTTTGCTATTCAGCACTTAAAGCAGACTCTACCCACTGTGCTGTCACAAGAGAAGCAAAATTCATCCTCTAGGTGGCGCTTGAGGAAAAAAATTCTTTAAAAGTGACAAAGATTCACCGCCTCATCACAGAAGATGATCCCAACAGTTGAATCAGTAAATCAAAGTACAAATGTTATACAATGCTACTTTTGGCTCCACAGGTGGAATCGAACCAGCACATCTGGAATCGAACCAGCAACTTGCTTGCCAAAGAAATGTGGGACAGCCCTAAGTATTATATATTAAAGAGCTGGTTTGAGGCAGTAAACGAGCTCAAAGCGTTCAGCTGCACGTTCAGTAATGGTGCACACACTCGGCCATTTGCATGAGCTCTTTGTCAGGTGATGGAGGATCCAGTCATCCTCATCAGGACATTGAACCAATAAGGAACTCCCTCAGGCTCCCTTTGTAGTAAAATGTCTAGGATTGCACCACCTTTCAGTCACAGCTAGTGCAATCCCTCCACATTTCTTCTTACTCCTCAAATTTCATATCAGTGAGATTTTTCAGTCTGGACTCAAGTTGTTGAATGCTTGACATTTTTTATCTGTTAGCATAGTTTCCCAGGTTTTAGTAGCACTTTTTCCTTCAAAACTCCACAAAAATAAACAAACTCAGAGGTTTATTTTCCTCGTCGGCCTCCCTCAGGTCCTTCAGTCCCTCCAGTACATCGACAGCGGCGGGGCAGTGCAGCTGAAAGGCCGCGTAGCCTGTCAGATCAGCAGCCACGAGCTGCTGCTGACGGAGCTTCTGTTCGAGAACGTCCTGAGCCCGCTGGCGCCCGAGGAGAGCGCCGCCCTGCTGTCCTGTCTGGTCTTCACTCAGAACACCCAAGTGGAGCCGCACATCACCAACACGCTGCAGGAGGTGAGGAGGCAGAGGAGTTTTTTTCCTTATGACTCACTCACACACAAACACTCACGTCACGTGACACTGTGCACATTTGATGAACAACGTCCCGCAGGAAGGACGGCGAGGGCACGTCACCTGACTCACCCCAGTCACTCCCTCACTTTGAAATCACTCGCCGAGTCTTTTGCTTAAACACGAAGGAGCTTTATGGCAGCCTGAATTAGTGATGACTTAAGTAGCAGTGCAGACACTAGAAGAGCAGAAGTACAGCGACGTGGTTTGTAAAGCAGGTTCATAATGTCCACACTGAGAGGCGGGAGAGCGAGTCACTTGTACCTACATGATCAAATCCGGCCACCAGCTAAACTCAGCATCCCGATATTGTCCTTTTTCTCTACCAGGGCATCGAGCAGGTGAAGTCGGTGGCTCAGCGCATCGGAGAGCTGCAGCGGGAGTGTGGGATACCGCAGACGGCCGAGGAGTTTGTAGGCCAGTTCAAGTTTGGCCTCACAGAGGTGGTTTACTGCTGGGCCAGGGGAATGGTGAGGTTTAACACTTTGTTGGGCTTTATTTGACCCCAGTCACACCTTTTGGTGAGAGGAAGTGTGTCTAAGAATGTGTGTGAATGACTTCACTGAGAACAGAGGAAGTAAAAGCAGTTTTCAGTCTGCTGGGGCTCTCGGAGCAGAGGTGAGCGTGATCCTCTTAAATCCACCTAACAAGTCATCGGGTCACAGATGTGCTGTTCCTCTGCTGAGACGAGAAAGTGTAACGCATATTAATATTAATCCACCAGGCCTACCTGATGAGCACATTTAGCCCCAAACAGGAGGGAAGAATCCAGATTAAGACAACACTCAGTGCCAGATGACAGAGATTACACTTTAATCCCTGCTGTTACTGGGACTGGTGATATTTATAAGATTATTTATTTATTTTTAACCCTTTAAAGCAAAAAGGAATAAAAAAAATACTATCATTTGTTCCTATCACATCAACATTCCAGTCTTCAACCTGTCATTGACACCTGGATTTGGCCTCTTTCTTCCATTTTTCTCAACACTGTTCCTCCTGAAGTCTTATCATGTGACTCAGTTTCATAACTGCCACTCGTCTTGCGTTGGTGGATCCAGTTTTTGTCATTTCTTTGTGATGGATTTCTTACAGGCTGCTAACAAGATTTTAAACAAATACATGACCCAGTAATTTTGGCAGTTACCAAATTAATACACTCCCTGAAATCTACAGTCCCAGGTTAGAGCCAAAAGACATTTATATTTACTCCAACATGGCTGTTTGCAGATTCAGACTTGCTTTTAATTCTGGGTGTTGACAATAAGTGTTATCAAATCTTAAGAAATTAACTGTTGTCTTCTCAACATACGCAACCTCAGAAATATTCTTACA